ATTTCTTACAACTGTTAGCCACTGATGAAGCTGTTTGACTGCTTCCTTTTCCAATATATTGACTACTATCAGGAACACACCCCCAGAACCTTGTAACAGGTTCTCAATGACAGCACTGTGACTGGAGTAGTATTCTGAATGACCAGCAAAATCATGAAGAATGATGTTACCCAGTGTCCTGTGTTGTAGTTTATAAGGAATGATGCCAGCAGTACAGGGCACTACCCCTCCAACATTTCTAAAGGAACCAAAAACAAAAGGGCCAGTAGCTGTGTCATTGATGACATGACTAAGAGTGCTTTTACCAGCTCCAGAATTACCCACGAGGAGAATGTTAACATAAGAATGAATTGGATGGGATACTTTAATGTTACCAAATTTCTTAAAAATAGCAATGACGGTATCACTATCCCTATATCTGCTGTTAACTAGTTGCAATGGTGTCCTCCCCTTAATATCTTTAGCCAAAGGATCACAATTACCAGTTGATAAAAAGCAATCAATAACTTCAGGTGTACCCTCCCTGGCAGCATAATGAAGAGGTGTTTGTTGAAGCCTATCATTGCATGCCATTATATCACAGTTACATTCATTAATGAGGTACTTCACAACATCTATGTGTCCAACAGCACAATGAAGAACTGTCCGACCACTATCGTTAGTAGTCATTAGATTATAGTGATGAGTATTGATGAGGTACTTCATGATATAAAGTAATCCTTGACTAGCTGCAGCATGTAGAATAGTATTCCCATATCTATCACGAGTCATTTTATCACAGTTACAATCATTAATGAGGTACTTTACAATATCTATGTGTTCAACAGCGAGATGAAGAACAGTTTGGCCATAAGTATTACGATATTGTTCATTCATTATATGACCGTTGATGTTCATGACCATACACTTCAAGACATCATACAATCCTTCACTAGCTACATAATGAAGAACAGAGTCACTGCCATGACTAGTAGTAGCACCCATCATTGGATCACAGCCACACTCTTTAATAAGATATTCAACTATATCAACGTGATTACCTCCAGCAGCAGTATAAAGACAGGATAGACCAATATAGTAGTATTTATGTGGATCAAAACGGTAACTAGTGACGAGATCTCTTGTAACATCTAACCAGCCATTCCTTATAGAATAATAAAGCAGGTCAGGCTCAATCTGATAAAGTACTTTAGGATCCTTTAAACGTAGTAACCGAACAGTTTCTTCATGATCTCTTCTTTCAAATGCATCCAGACACCGAGCTTCCTTCGAAGTTGCCATCTTTTATCACATCACGTGATTACCATGGAAACTCAGATCATTCCGTTACCATGGAGATTAGCTCTATTAGATTCTATTATAAATCTAAAGCTCTAAACAAGATGGCGGATGTGTTATGTTGAAAAGCCATTAGTACCATCCCGTATACTCCAGTAAAACTCCGTTTTTATGCCTGAACTTTATTGTAGTACAGGTGATACTGGTAATGCAGGTCATACTGGTAATGCAAGTAATACTGGTAATGCAGGTAATACTGGTAATGTAAGTAATGTAGGTAATGTAAGTAATACTGGTAATGCAAGTAATACTGGTAATGCAGGTAATGTAGGTAATGTAAGTAATGTAGGTAATGAAGGTAACGTAGGTAATGTCTCCATTGCAGTTTAGGTCCCACCTCAATTAATTATTAAAAATTAATTGATGATGTCATCATCATGAATATTAATGAATTACTAGTTTCTTAGATTTAGGATTCTTTTTTTTAGGTTTTTTGGTTTAGGTTAGGGTTTAGGGTTTAGTATTTTTTAAGTTTAGATTTAGGGGTTAAATTCATTCAAATTAATTATTAAATAGGTAGGACCTAAACTGCAATGTAACCATGTATGTTAAACAAACCTCTTAAAATTATTAGCCTGGGTGTATTCTGTCTAAATTTTGTGTGTATTTGTTTGTAAAGGCTGTTTCGGCATGTTCAACTCAGACATCCAGTGCTACTATTATCTAAACTAACCTCCTGAAACTTTTAATCCTTCATTTGTGTCACTGAGAAGTTGTTATTATTGTTATTATTATTATAACACCACTGGAACTCTTATCCGGGCCACCATATTGATTGGAACCCTTTATGGCTGTGTGTTATGAGACTTTGAGCAGAGGCGGGACTCAAGGCAGCTCCATTGACTCACATAAAGAGCTAAGATTGCTCTGTCAACAAATACATATAGGGTGACTGTGAGCACCTCAGTCTGCACCATCCTCCCACAGACCTAGCCTCAGTATGGCTATGTGCTATGAGGCTCAGGGCAAAGGCAGTTCCATTGACTCACCCACTTACTTAAGAGCTAAGATGGCTCTCTTCAATAGTATCACCATGACATACATGTATATAGTCTATAGGGTGTTGTCTCCTCACACCTGCCCAGGCACTCTATAGGCTCAGTGATGTGAGGTTTTAAGAGAATCTCTAAAACAAGATTATACAGCAAGGACTACTGTGGCAAACCGGCCCAGGCTACCTACACCCACTTTATCCTAAAGGGCCTCCTTCTCTACCGGCAATGGGAAAGATAATTAAACACAGAGATACCTAGTCCTCCACTCCTCCTCCATTCTTTACTCTACCATTAGACTCCTTACATTATAAATTGACTTCTTGTTGTGTACTGATACAGCTAGGGGAGCCTCACTAGGAGATTGGTGTCATCAGATTCTATTGTACTCTCTAGGGATAATTATCTTTAAAATGACTGGCTAGTTCTCTTTTAATGCTCCTAGACAATCATTCATGGACACTCAGTCATGCATCAGACATCAGTTAACCTTTTGCTGGATCAGTATGACACTGGCCATATACTAGGGGCCAGTGTACAGTATCTTATTACAGTCAATACAATACAATTAAGTTAATAACAATACAGATTAATTCTATATTGGACTATAGCTGCTCAAACTAGGAATCAATATAGAATCAGTGTGAATCAAGTATGAATCAGTGTGTATCAGTGTCAATCAGTATATTCATTAATGATTACTTCAACAGTTCTCTTGCTCTACTTAACGTCATCTTAGCACTATTGGACCTCTCAAGGAAATGACTAGAAAGATAGTAATAATAACATAAGGGTATGTACTTGTTTATATGTATAACCAGGAAATGTAATAAAAATAAAGAATTCTCTACTTGTCATTTTGACATAATTAGAGAATTTGACCCAATTTTTGAGACATTAAAAATTTGTAAAAAAATCAATTTGGATTGGAACCAGCTCAAACTTTCTACACAACATATGTACATGTACATGTATTATTATGCATCAGGAAAAATTATAAAAATTAAAAACTTTCCTTTTTTTCAATTTTGGAAAATTTGGCTGCTATATAGCACAGCCTTTGGTCCAATTTTTGAGAAACTTTAACATTCATAAAAAATCTAATTTTGATCAAAAACTTTCAAGTACATGTATATGCATAAAACAAATTATAAAATGAAGAATTCTCTCCTTCAATTTAGGCAAAATTTGGCCCAAAACCACACTATAGTATTGGGTCTTTTGACCCAATTTTTGAGCAACTTTGATTTGTACAAATTTTGTGCTGATCCTACATTAATCATTAATAATAAATCTACAAGTATTATTATTAATAGTAATGTCACTTACAACTATATAATCAGCAACTGATGTCTCTCCTATACTTCACCAACAGCAATAGCTAGTTTGTTCCATGTTGCTTCAATGTCATTTTTAAGCCATAATGCTAAACATTCTCTGAGACATTGCTTAGCATCTCGTGGATAGTTATCCTCAATAATCTTCAGATCATCATGAATCAGACCCAAGTAGAGACCAAGATCAAACCATTTGATAGTTTGAAAGTGACCATCTTTTAACACTCGTACAATATCTACCAGATCCCTGATAGTCAATATAACTATAAATAAATAATTACTGTAAAAGTAGTGACAATGAATGGTTATACCTTTTTGTTGATCATCATTGTGCTCACTGATCTGTGTGGGTGAGTAATTAGTAACTGGCTTGTCATTTTGAATTGTTGTCTCTATATAAAAGTATAAAATATGATACAAAATTATTCAACCACACTCACTATAAACTATATAAATCCTTAATCTCACAAGCATCTATAAGATGTGATGTGAGATTGTGATTCCACTAGTGGAGAGGTGAATATATGACAATGTATTTGGCCAATGAATATCATTAATTTTAGCAATTTTCAAAGGTATAAAACTTGGATCACGTGAGTCTCCTAGTCGGTCATAAATTTTTTTGCAATAGCTCTCAGAGTATTTAACACACACTTTAGACTATAATGTATATGCATACATATACAACAACAAACCTAATAGCTTATTTTCAAAACACAACAACTGCTACTACAAAATAACAGTAAGCATGCTAAATACT